ACTGTGATAGGGTGCAGACCAAAAGGCATCGAAACACCCCCCCTCCGTGGAGACCATTGGCCCCTCTTGGGTAGCCGTGAGTGGGGTGGGCTGGCTGCTCACTCAGGGTGTTGCTGACTGACTCAGTCCCAATCCTCCCCTGATGGGTGGGGAATGCTCTGACAGCGGAAAGGCAGGGTAAGCGGAGAACTGAGAGGAGTGGCACCCAGCGGAAGCAGGGTGGTGGCGGCGGAGCAGTCCCAGAAAGCTCTCCAGAAGGGCCGGGGCTCCAGGCAGGTTGTAGGGAGGCAGTGAGGTTGGAAGCAGAGCCTTTGGGGAACTGGTTTGGCCAGGCAGCGGCTGCAGGTACTAGGACTAAGGAAGCCAAGACCTTTTCTGGGGGGAAGTAGGGAGCCATGGAAGGTTCTCAGTCTAGAAGGCTTGTTACCCAATTCACGCTTCAGAAAGATCTCAGTGATTGTGGTAGGACAGTGGTGTGGGGGTCCCTGGGAAGGCTGGGATGGGAGTGGGGAGCCTTGAGAGGAGGCCCTGGCTATAGCTGAGGCTACCGATACTGGGAACCTGGACTGAGGCAGGGGAGAGCCCTCTCCTCCTACCCTACCCTCTGTGGAATGCTAACACCCACCCCTCCTTCAAGTGCAGATGGAAGGAGGCACCTCTTCCAGGCGGCCCTTCTCAAAGGACATGTTCTTTGAGGCTGTGCAGAGCCTGGCATTCAGGGGCCCACGGAGTGGGTACCATCAGCTGACCCTGAGCTTCTCCTCTGTGGCTCTAGAACCGCCCCCACCCTTGGGCTGCTAACTTTCTTTCTCTAAAGAATAAATTTATTGTTTTCATTAGAAAAGCAATCGTACCGCAGTACAGAGAATTTAGAAATGAGCAGAACAAAGACAAGCCCAGCTCAGTTCCCGGCGAGGTCATCCCCCATCCAGCCCACTCCGGGCGTGGCGCCCTGCAGCCTTCTTTTTCTGACGCAGGCTTATATTTTTGCCTCCCTGTAATCACAGTGTCTGGGCAGTTTTGAGCCCCTCAGCCTCCTGCTTACTTTGTTGGGAGCTGGTTCCCCTGTGGCCTCGGGGCCTGGGCAGATCTCAGAGTTCATGTCTGTGGCTAGTCAGGGCAAGGGCTGGGACTGGGGTGGGGGGGAGGGGCGGGAGCTGCCGAACCACGCCCCTCTGCATTGCAGTGGGCAAGTGGACAAGCATAGTCCACATGTCCTCTCCGTGTCCATGTGTCCAGGCCAGAACCTCCCCAGGTGGCAGCACCTGTCCCTGGTGACCCCCACCTTCCTTCCATTGCCCCCTGTGGAGCTGGTTGGGCCCCACAAATCCAGACACTGCTCCACGACCTCAGCCAAGTTTCCTAACGTCTCTGGATCTCCATCTCCTCGCCTGTACCCTGGGTCTGTTGTAGCAGTAAAATGCTGAATGCCATTCCATCGGTATATCCTTGCCCATTGTAAGTGCTCAAGAAGAAGTTGTTGATATTATTGGACTTTTCCATTTTTTACAAGGAGTTTCTGGGACCCGCTGTGGGACTGGGGGCTGGGAAGGGCAGAAGTGAGTGCATCCTGACCGGCCAGCCCCTGCAGAGCACCCAGTCTGGTGTAGAAAATGCCCAGTCATATAGATCATTGTACCGGAGTGTGGTTGGCTCTGTAGCGCTGTGTCGGACACAGGTGATGTCTTGACTCCATAACTTGTTAGCTGTGTGGCTTTGGGCAAGTTGGTCAACCTCTCTGAGCTGCAGTGTCCTCTTTTGTTCAATGCCTGAGTCATCGTCGTCGGGAAGATTCAGTGACATGATGCATGTGACACACAGTGCCTGGCACGTAGTAAGCGTTGAAACCGATGGTAGCTGCCATTTTATTATTGTTGTTATTATTCCCATATACAAGGTGCTGTTGGGAACACAGAGGAAGTGACTGACTGGGGGTTCAGGGAAAGCTCCGTAGAAGAGGGAGCACTTGAGCTGGGTCTTGAAGGATGAGTAGAAGTTCACCAAGTGGGAAAGGACACTCTAGGTAAGGAGCCTGGGATTCCAGGGTAAACTGTCAATAAGGGGTTTGGGGGATCGAGGGATTGTGTTCACCCAAACGTCTTTGAGTGCCCCCCTCACTGCTGCAGCAGAAGCCAGCAGACTTGGCTGGGGCAGTGAAAGGCCTCTGGGACCAACCCGCGGGGTATGAGCCCATCCACCTGTGTGATAGCACTCACCTGTTTTCTGGTGGCTGTGTCCCCATCTGTCCATGTTTGGGACCCCAGGTCTGTGTCTGTCCTGTGCTGTCTGTCTGCATGTCCTCGTGGCCGTGTTTGTCTGTGTGGGGATCCAGGAGACCGCCCAGGTCACCCTGCGGGAAGCACCCTGTGGGGAGCACCCTGCACGCGCTTGCTCAGCCTCCACCTCTGACCCGACAGCAGGCTTGGTGCCTCCGCTGCCGCCTTGGTCTCTCTCCCCCTGGCCCAGGTGCAGCCCTGGCCTCAGCCCACAGGTGGGGGGGGCCACCTAATGATGTTCCCCGCTGCCTCCCCTCCTGCCCTCTCCAGCTACATCTGCAAGCAGCAGTCAGAGGGGTCCTTCTGAATCACGAGTTCTAGCCCACCATCTCCTACTCCAGACTCCAGACGTAGGCTTTCGAGACCCACCTTCTAGGTCGCCCCTGGCTGCTGGCTGCAGCCTCACCCGCAGCTCCTTGTACCCTGTGCTTTTCTCTCCAGGCTTGTGCTCAAGCAGTTGCTTCTGCAGGAATGGCCCCCACTCTGTCTTTGCCTGCGAGCTCCCACTCATCCTTTAAGACCCAAGGAAGTCCTCCTTGATCATCCCCTCTGTCCAGGCTGGGTCAGGCTTCTGGTGCTGGGCTTGCTCATTCCTTCCTTGGGGGGCAGAGCAAGTGACTTGCCCAAGATCACACAGCTGGTGAGATGGGGGCAAGTTTGGAGCATAGGGTGTTGGGCTCCAAACGAAATGTCCCCCGGTCCAGGGGCAGTGAATGCAGCCAACAAGAGTGGGTGGGCCAGAGACAGGTTTCAGAAATGGGTTCCTGTGGACGTGGCCAATGGTGGGTCTGAGGTGGGGAGGGAAGGAGGGAGGGCAGAGCTGTGGTCCCTCCTGGGTCTGGTGAGTGCCTTTGGAAGATGGAGATGCCTCGCCCAGCGCTGGGATAATAGCAGAGGTGCCTGGCGTAGGGAAAGCCTGAGGCCAGCCAGGCCTGGCGAGTCTGAGTGGCCCAGGTGGCAGCTGAGTGGAGGGGCCCGGCCTTGAGCTTCAGGGAGCTGGGCCGGAGAGGGAGCTAAGGGAGTTGGCTGGTGTTTAAAGTCGTATCTGATGGGCCACCCAGCCTGTGAGAACAACCTGGGGAGAAAAAGCTTCTGTCGTCTCTGGGGTGCCCAGCCCACAGGGGTGGGGTGAGGGGGAGGCCAGAGAGGAGGACGACCCACAGTGGCAGGGAGGCCCGGAGAATGCGCCTCGCTGGTGGTCTGTCGACTGGCCAGATGAGGTCATTGGGCTAGTGGCTGGTCTCATGGCGGGAGGTCCTTCTCGGGGGTCTGTGTCCGCTGCTTCTTCGCTTGCGGCTCCCGGAAGCAGGGCTTGTGTTCCATCTGCCTTGGGTTCCCCAGCACTGGCCTTCGATTGGGCCCAAAGGACACGCCCAAACGCAGGGATGGATACATGGAAGGCCGGACGATGGGTGAGTGGGTGGGCCAGCTGACCATGTGACGCTATTTTCAAAGCAAGCACTAAGGGGCGGGGGGTGGGGG